GATTTGCTCTGTGAGACCCTACACACAGGTGGTGCATATTACGGAAATTATGCTGCAGAAACAAAGCTCAATGGTAAGATATTTATTTATTTTGAAGGTTTGGGTTTGAGGGTTTAACGAGATTATCTGGCATTTTGAGATTATTGAAAGAGAAATCCATCCTTTAACACCCATTCACATTCCCCATGTATCCCAAAATAAGGTGATTGGCTATAAGCTATATTCAGTGTTGGGGAGTAACTAGTTACATGTAACGGCGTTACGGAATGTAATTACAAAATAAATGTAACTGTAATCAGTTACAGTTACTAAGAAAAAATGTGTAATTAAATTACAGTTACTTATGAAAATGTTAACAATTACAAAGGGGATTACATTTGAATATTTACACACATCCACATACAGATTTAATTGATTTCTTTCCCAAATTGCATTGACTACTCTGAGACGTACGGCCCTATAATTTCCGCGATGCGTAAAATTACAGACTGGTTCGTAGATTCCAGTCATAAAAACAGGAGTCTTATAGCCTAACGCGGACGGAATAGGCCACATTTTGGATGAATAAATCAAAAGTAGGTCAGTACACTTGAATCAAAACGTGATATGGACTAGTGTCTGTGAATATTAAGCCGCAAAAAGACAATATATAAATCCTACACGTTCTGCGTGTCTGTGGAAATCAGGCACGGACTGTTCGATAATTAAATCTCTAATAAATCATGAATCGGTTAGTCGGGAGTCGTGAGTCGTGACTGGCAATGCTTCGACTCGTGCGCTCTCCGCGCCTCCGCCAAATGGTCAGAGTAATCAATAATCCAAAGACAATGGATACTATTGTTAAACCATCGTAACCACAAATTAACCATGGTTTTTGCTACACTAACCATAGTTTAACCATGGCATTTGTAGTAAAAATAAATACAAATGGTAATCCATTTGCAAAAAAAAACCACATGGTTAATTTTTGTAAGGGAAAAACATGACTCATGTTCATTATTAGGATTTTTCTATAAAGATATTGTAGTGATGTACTAATTTTGACATGTAGGCAATTTAGAAAGTATAGTTTTGTTAAATCTTGAGTATTAAAGTCATGAGAGAGACAGATATCAGGGCAAAAATAAAGAGACTGAAAAGAAAAATGGAAGTGAAGGTGCAGTTCATGAGAGAACTTTTAATTATGTCCCCAACCAAAGAATTGAAACCTTTTTTATGTGAGGTTCATACAAAAAAATAGGGTTGTCCATGTTTCAGAATTTGTTGTGGGTGTACGAGTGTGAGATTTCCTGGCCTGAATTTTTTCCCCCAGTCCACCCCTCGTGGAAATTAATAGCGCAGACATGCGGTTTCATTTACTACACATAGGCCTACTGAAGCTCACAGTGTTTGCAGCCTCTGCCGCCTCAATATATGAGTACATGAACACAAAAACATAATCTCTAGAACTGCTCACAGAAGAGTCACTTCATGAGCATTTTACTTATTTTGAGAAAACTATCGTC